ACATCTAAAAACACCTGAGCTTTGTACAATGAATGCTTAATTTTTTTTTTGGCTAAAATCCAATTAAGCGAGAGAACGGTCTATCCAAAAAAGACTATCAAAAAAGGCTATCAAAAAGACGAGGTGGCGCCTACGCTCCCGAAGATTTTATTAAAATTGTTTGCGTGGAAATCTTTTGAAGGAAGCAGGTGATTATTGTAAATGAACATTAAAGACGTAAAATTTAAGAAAAAGGGGAGGGGTTGAGCTGGAATTGGAATTGGAAGTGGATCTGATTCGGGTATAAAAATGGGCTGCAAAATGAAAGCTAAATCTTTTCAAGGATTCTCATTTTGAGCCTCGTTTATGTTTGGTTAAATTTTAAACATTTTTTTTGATGCTTTTTATTTATTTTCTCAAGATACAAGTCTATTATCGTTTTTTAAAAAGTCTTTTTTCAATTCCAACACTGAATTTTCTCATAAATTCCTGAATTTCGATGAAATTGATTTGAATTTTTGTAAAGAATCGCTGATAAAAAAGAAAAAGATAAGAAAAAGAAAAACAAAGTGAATTCTGAAAGTTTAAAAGTCATTTTTGTTATAGATCTTGATGATTATTCCAATTTAATTCTCCTTTTTTTGTCTCACTCAACTATTACGTCTTTACATTGTCCGAAAACGAAACATCCAGACATTGAAAAAGGCTCTCTGGAAAAGTTTATTCTTTCCGTATTCTAATGAGTTGTGCTGTTGATGGGCGTTCCAGAAACAAAGATTTCAAGAAAAAAAATTGAAAATGAATCGTCCAGAGAACAGCTTTTTGCATGATCCTGTTTTGAGTTAAAAATGCCTTCGAAATATTTGTGAATTTCCTAATTTTGTTAAGTTTAGCTGCTAGTGTGCTTGCCAAAAGCTATGATTTCAGAAATCATTTTTTATCTAAATTCCTTATACACAAGATTTTAGCGTCGTCCTGATTTCAGCAAATATGCCTTTCGAATTTTTAAGAGTTTTCTTGTCTTTTTATTCTTAACTGTTAGTGTGCAATCCAGAAGAGAAGATTTTAAGAAAAAAATTGAAAATGAACCGTCCAGAGAACAGCTTTTTGCATCGTCCTGTTTTGAGTTAAAAGTGCCTTGCAAATATTTATGAATTTCCTAATTTTGTTAAGTTTAGCTGTTAGTGTGCTTGCCAAAAGCACACTAGCAGCTAAACTTAACAAAATTAGTGACTTCTGAAGTGGGCTAGTGTGCTTGCCAAAAGCTATGATTTCAGAAATCATTTTTTATGTAGAATTTCGATGAAATTTATTTAACTTTTTGTAAAGAATCGCTGATAAAAAAGAAAAATAGATAAGAAAAAGAAAAACAAAGTGAATTCTGAAAGTTTAAACGTCATTTTTGTTATAGATCTTGATGATTATTCCAATTTAATTCTCCTTTTTTTTGCCTCACTCAACGATTACGTCTTTACATTGTCCGAAAACGAAATTTCCATTGATTAGCCGCATAATTGAAAGAAACGGGAAAGAGACCAAAAAATGTGGGTGTTAATTTGTTTGGGATGAATTAGATGGCTCTTCATTTCAATGAGAAACAGAAAAAAAAGCGGAGGGGAAAAGAATAGTGTTCCTTTATTGTTTCCCACGAAACATTTCCCTTTTTCCACCCACGCGATGATCATTGCTCGGGAACTCCCCAAAAAAGACAGCTGCAAAATTGAGGGACGAGTTGTGAAAAGTTATTTTGGGGCTGAACGAGTGCAGAGTACTCAACAATGAAAATTCCGGGGGTCAAAGTCGAAAGAGATGAACCAAACGAACCAAGAGTTTGCCAGGAGGGTGTCCAGCTGACTGATTAGCTAAAAAGCACGTCAAAATAAAGCCAAGAAACAAAGAGGAAACCCTAGAATTTTAAATTTCCAAAAATCTTGATCTTTTTCGATCAAAAGTTCCCGGACAAAAGCGTGGGAGCTGAAAGTGCGCAAATCTCTAAATTGTCTAATGTGTGTCTCTGTTCGAAATGATATTGATGTACAAAAGAAGAGATTCGTTTCGCCAAAGTGCGTGCGTCGCTTTTGCTTTTCCCTTTTTCGATCCCAGTTTGGTCAGTCTTTTTCCATTTTTGCCTTTTTTAAGCGATCCTTTTTGGTGGTCAGCCCACGCATTTTTAGCAACAAGAAAAGGGGAAAGAGAGCTGAAAAAAAGGAATGGGAATACGTCAGTTGTGGAAACGATCCATGATCGGGTCAATTTTGTCAAAAACTGAATAACTCCGATTCCAGACACGACAAATGGCTCTGTTTTGACAAATGACTCTGTCTTCTGGGATCATCAAATGATTAGTATTCTGTATAAGACACAAAAACGAATGATTTGTGGTTTAAGATTAAGATTTTAGAAAAAAAAACGACATTTAACCAGTTTTAACTGTCTTTTTATTTGATGAGATCGATATTTTCGAAATGCTAAACTATAGAATGAAAGTATTCATTTGATTTCGCTTTTTGGAAAGCACAGCAAAACTTAAGCACGTTAAAATAAGGAAAAGCGGGAATTATCGTAAGGCACTTTTTTTTTGAAAACAGGATGGCGTTGGAATCTGGTGAATTACACACATTCATGCTCAAAAACATTCTTGAAATTTCAGTTTCTGGAGCTCACATTAACAGTTAAGCACATTAGAAGGCTAAGATTCAAAAAAAAAATTTCAAGGTACGCCATCCTAAGAACAGTCTTGATCTTTTATTCTTTGTTTTTGTTTTTGTTTCTTTTACTTTCCCTCAATTTTTCACTCAAGCGTGTAACTCGTTAATTAATAATTAACTATTTAATAATTAACTCGTTAATTACACTCACTAATTCTCATCACTTTTCCCACTAACCCAATAAATTTCAAACTCTAAACAGCTTAGAATTTTGTGGGTGGACCAGTTCATTCCCAATCCCGAATAACCATTGTTTTTCAATCTCTCTCTCCCCAAACGTAATGCGTCACGCCAATTTTTTTCTCGTCTTTTCGCTCAAAAATCGCTCCCGATTATCTTCAATTAGCTTTTGCAGGAATTAATGTGAAATTTGACCAACTTATTTGCTAGTTTGGGTATATAAATGGTTGAAGGGAAAGTTGGACTCTAAATCAGAAAATTTTTGTGGCTTTCTAAAGTGTGATATAATTTGGTATCCACCATTTATTTTTAGCATTTTGCAACTTTTGGCATACACTGGCCCTAGAAATACTTGCAGATACTTAAATTTAGAACTTTTTCGAAGGCACTTTTTCTGCAATTCAGGCACTCGTGCTTCTCTGTGAATTGTATGGCTTATACTTCGAGGTGTTTGCTTTTTTTAGTAGTTATGGCGTGCATGCACCTTTAAAATGTATAATTTGTACACCATTTTACACCGAACACCGAAGGCACTTTTCAGAGAAATTCAAGCACTCGCCCTTTTCACGCTTTGTGTATGCTTTTGACCCTTGTCTTTTATGGAAACCCAAATTTGGATGTCATGTTCGCTGAAAACATCATCACTTGATCAATTTTCAGACTTCTGAAATTTGATTTAAACCAGAAAATTTTTGTGGCTTTCTAAAGTGCGATATAATTTGGTCTTCACCATTTATTTTTAGCATTTTGCAACTTTTGGCATGCACTGGCACTAGAAACACTTGCAGATACTTAAATTTAGAACTTTTTTCGAGGGCACTTTTTCTGCAATTCAGGCACTCCTGCTTATGTGCGAATTGAATGGCTTGTACATCAAGGCGTTTGCTTTTTTTAGTAGTTATGGCATGCATGCACATTTAAAATGTATAATTTGAACAGCGTTTTACACCGAACACCGAAGGCACTTTTCAGAGAAATTCAAGCACTCGCCCTTTTCACGCTTTGTGTATGCTTTTGACCCTTGTCTTTTATGGAAACCCAAATTTGGATGTCATGTTCGCTGAAAACATCATCACTTCATCAATTTTCAGAAGCGCAAAATTTTGATCAAAATTGCTAATCAAAAAGATGGGCTGCAAACAGAGCTCACAGAAGCGGCTCTCTTTGAAATTCCTCGCGAACAGTGCTTTCTCTTTTTGTCGCCCACTCATTTCTCTTTTGTGCCTTTTCCGCCAGAAAAGGGGGAAAAGGGGCGGGGGTAGTGTGCTTATTTTGTTGACTCATTCAGACTCGACACTTCATCGGTACGCTCCTCCCTTGTTTGATACCGTAAGGCAGTCTCTCCCTCAACCCCGATCAACCATTTGGTGACTTTTATGGCAAACAGAGTCTCCAAATGAGCGCACAGACTGTCTCAATATCTGCTCGTCCATTCAATCACATACTGTAGCTGTATTGAAAGTTTGATCTATAAAAAGCTGAAACTTTTGGAAAGCTATTTTTGGCGCTGTATAGATCAGAATTTCATAAAATAGCCGAAATTTCTTCAGTTTTCAAATTTCAATCTATAGAATACTGTAGTTTCTAAGAATGTAAAGTTTTCAAAGTTAACTTTTTTTGTTATCAGCTTTAAAAAAAGTTTATTAAGCTGATTTCTGAAATTTTGCTAAGCTTTATTAAAATTTCGGGCCATCCACATGACTCCCCAGAGGATTTTTCTCTAATGAATGAATCGTTTGTGTTGACCAGTTTCCCGTTTGATTGCTAAGATTTAATCATTTTCATTTTCATTTTCATTCACCAATTTTTCACCATTCAATTTATGTTATTTGTTTAGAGAAAAAGAAAAAAGAAACCTTTGTTTCCATTTTGGTTTTCAAATTTCAGAAAAGTTTTTTGTTTTTGTTGATTTATAGATTAAAAACAAAATTTTAATCTTTTAATAATTTAAAATTATTCAAAGCTTCTTTTAAACTAAAAACAGAAATCAAAAGAAAAATAAGTTTTAAAAAATAAGTTCTCAACAAATTAAAGGTTTCAATTTTTGTTTTTAAAATTTTTTTTTTTTCTTGTACTTATAATAATAGATTTTATTTTTTGAAATTCAATTTTATAACGATTAATTTATAGGCAATGGATGAGTGGGAGCCTCAATGCGATGGGTTATCAACGCCGCCAAATGAACTCGTCTCACCGACGACTCCACCCACTCTTTCATCCAACAAATCACCATCGGCGAAAGAAAATGAATCGCTTTTGAAAGTTAGTTAGCTAATAAACTATTCTAAAGCTTTGATTCTTAATTTCCAGTCAGAACCCCAAACGCTGATTAGCCGTCTTGACTCACTCGCCATGCCTCCACCAACAATTCCCTCAACTCCGACCCTCCATCGCCAAATCTCTTTACCCGAATGTCAATGGGATTTCCAACACACACAACATCAACAATATCTATCTCATTACAATGTAAATCTACTGTAGCTTTAAGTATAAACGATTTCCAGGAAACATCTTTCCAAGAATGCTCATGGAGTTGGCAAGCTAGACGACTAAACTCTTCTCTTCCATCAGCCTCGCATTCGATTGAAGCACAAGGACGAGTTCGAATAGAGCAAAAACGGTAAAATGATTTAATTTTCGACAATTCTGGAACGCACCGCATCATTTTTTTCAATAAATGAATGACGAATCTTGGTGAATGAGCTCTCATCACTAACCGCCAATTTCCTCTCAAAGCATCACTTTGTACTTAGCTATAGTTGGATGAAAATTGGAATCAAATCAAAATAGAATGTTTAGCGGTGATCGTCAGCATTCATATCAATCAATTTCATTTGATGAAGAGAGAAGAAGAGTTTTCGAGCAAATCGATACTTATCGAGCTGTTGTTTCTTCAGAAGGTTTGTGTCAAAATTTGAGCTTCAAGTTTTACTACGTTTTTTCCTTATTCTACAGTCCTCTATTTTTTTCCTGTTATTCAGTTTTGAGAAGTCATTTGAAAGGCTTAAATCATTTGTCACTGTCATCAGTACACCTTCGTAAAATAATCGTGTTACATAAATTTAAAGCATTTTATATCTTGTCGTGATATCCAATTTACCTTATGCTGTTTTCGGTTTTGTTTTAAATCTATTATTATTTCTGATTTTTTACAGTCCTCTTTTTTTCACTGCTTAAACCCTTTATTTTGTACTCTTTTTCCACTACTTCACTCCTGATTCCGAAAGGTTCTTGCAAATCCCTCTATCAGAACTAATCACCTCTCCTGATTCCGAAAGGAAGTTGCAAATCTCTCTATCAGACCAAAACTATCAGAACTTGCAAATCCCTCTATCAGAACCCTATGGTTCCTGCATTAGCACTATCCTCGAGTACCGTTTCCCCCACCTTTCCCCCACCTTTCCCCCACCTTTCCCCCACCTTTCCCCCGCCTTTCCCCCAATCTCAACCCCTCAATCCACCCCGGATCTCCTCTTCTTAACTTTGTCCTCGATTTTGTAGAAAAACCCTTTCTCCTTTTTTTTTATCGCTAAATATTTTTTTTCCTCTAATGATTCATTTTTGGTGTTTCCTTGAGTGTAAACAGAAAAAAGTAGAAAAAGACTTTTTTTTTGTCCGGAAATAATCAGGATGCAAAAATACGAGACAAAAGATAACATAAGGACATTCACCCATTTCAATTCTTTATCATCATTTTTCGTCTTTGATCTTTTATGAGGGACAAGTGGAAAAGAAAAAGTTGTAAAAGATCGTATGTTAAGATAATTAATGCAAGAGTTCAAGTTGACAGTTAAAAGTCAAAAATTCTTAAGCTTTCATTAGAAAGCGATATCTTATTTACGAAGTATGGAGGTCATGTAAAGGTTTGGGGAAATTTTCAGAGCAATGGGAGACAGTTGGGGGAGGGACGGGGGGAGGTTGAGGGGATCATCAAGGGGAAGGAAAAGAGTAGGCGTTACACTGGAGGAGGCAAGGGAGTGGGGCTTTTGAAATCCTTTCCAATCTTCCATTTCACTTTTGATTATCGATTTTTAAAGTAATTCCAGAAATCCAAGGGAATCCAGTTTTGTGATAACTCGAAAATTCAAAAATAGCCTTCTTTTCTGTTTAAATCTTTGACCTCAACTTTTTGAGGTCAAAATTTCTCCAAACTTTTCCCAAATCCCTAGTGAACTCCAAAATGTCGGTTGAAACTTTAGGAAAGGCACGTTTTTTCATAAATCTCCAATTCTTCTTACCCAATCGAGTTTGAGTTAAAATATTCGATCTATTGTTGTTCAATTGTCTACTTCCGAAGCTAATATATTAATCACAACGGCAAAAAAATTGGTGAAAAGAAAGAGAAAGGCCCGTTTTACGTCACTCAGCCACAAAAAAAAGACAAAGGGATGGGGAGATCCTGCAGGGAAAAGATTTGTCTGCCCAGTAGCTTCTATCATTTCAATATTATTTCAATAAGTAATGCTGGAGTGCATGTTTTAAAATAAAGAAGTTAAATTTCTAGTAATTCTAAAACTAGACAGAAGCCCTAGAGTCAGGTGACCTGTTTGAGCTTAAAAATTCTTCTTAAAGCTATCGGTTTGATTTTAGATTCATTTTTTGTCAATTCTGGAATGCACACTTCAAATTGAGTGTGAAATTATTTGTTGAATGAAATTTTTTTCAATTTTCATTTTTCTGAATGAGTTAATTTGGTTACTGGGTGTTTTTAATGATGACACTTTTCTCTGTCTCTCTTCCAGAGTATCCCAGGAAGAGTCCGTTCGTTGAATAATTCTCTCTCACTTGCAAAAGTGGGCAAAAAAAAACTCGTCGAAAATTGGCCTCTCTTTTTCAGTTTTCTGAAGTCAGCACTCATTTCACTAATTTCCTTTTATACTTTTAGCCTAAAATAGCTTTCTCATTTTCATTTGTGACATCCAATTTTAAAACCGGACTTGGATTTGCTTAGATTAACTGGTTACTTCCACCAAAAAACACTTTCTCTTTAAATTTGGTTCCTTATCTCTTTAACTTTGGTTCCCTATCACTCTAAATTTGGTTCCCTATCTCTCTATTTGGTTCCCTATCTCTTTAAATTCCCTATCCCTCTAAATTTGGTTCCCTATCTCTTTAAATCTCTTTTTCATTTTCTGAAGTCAACCCTCATCTCCCTAATTTCCCGTTTTTATACTTTTAGCCTAAAATAGCTTTCTCATTCTCATTTGTGACATCCAATTTTAAAATCGGACTTGGATTTGCTTGGATTAACTGGTTACTTCCACCAAAAAACACTTTCTCTTTAACTTAGGTTCCCTATCACTCTAAATTTGGTTCCCTATCACTCTAAATTTGGTTTTCTATCTCTCTATTTGGTTCCCTATCTCTTTAAATTCCCTATCCCTCTAAATTTGGTTCCCTATCTCTTTAAATCTCTTTTTCATTTTCTGAAGTCATCCACTCATTTCACTAATTTCCCGCTTTTATGCTTTTAACCTAAAATAGCTTTCTCATTTTCATTTATGACATCCAATTTTAAAATCGGACTTGGATTTGCTTGGATTAACTCGTCACTTTCACCAAAAAACCCTCTGTAATCCCAATTTTTCTCATCTAACCCCTCGTAAACTCTTATTTAAAAGAGAAAAATCAATTTCAAACCTAATCCATCACTCCTTTTTTTATCGACAATTTTCTCAATTTCAGCAAATCCCTCCCAAAAGAATATTCTGTGATTTCTTCTTTGCGGAAGGATTTACGGTCGAATGCTTTTTTTGAGTGAAAAGAACAGAAAATGGGACTCCAAAACTCCGTGCAACTCTTTTTGCCTTCCAGAATCTCTATTTCTTCATTTCTCGAGAACCGGGCACGCACGCAACGCGGCCGCTTTGTGTCTCTGCTCGGGAATGCCCCTTCCCTTTCTCTCCCTGCCAGCCGATCTCTCGTTTCACTCTTTCACCACCCCGCCTCTTTCCATCAGCTTTTTGCTTTCCCTTTTAGTTAATCTCTCGTTTTTCTTCAAATTTCAGGTTTCCACATCGTTTTCTCCATTTCCCCCAACAACTTTCCCATTTTTTGTCGCTTTTTCTTTCTCCTGGGTTCCACGAAAGTTCCTGATCTCTTCTTCTTTTCAAAATCTCAACTCCGACTCTCTCTCGACTTTTCCCTTTCTTCTCCGATTTCTCGTCTTCGATGGCTATCTCCTTGCGCCCTCCATCCCTCTCGAATCACTATTTGTGTGCATGTGTGCCCCTTTCCATTGCCCTCTCCTTTTTTTTCCCATCAGCGATCATGGATTCCTTTTTCTGCATCGATGGCCATCTACGTGAGCTCTGCCCTCCAATGAATCCCTCTATTTTGGCCGCTTTTTTATTGAAGCTATCCAATTAAAATTGTGACCGCAATGTCAATCATTGATTCGAAAACGTTTGCATTTTTTTTTTCTTAAAAAAAAACCATTGCAAAAATGAGTCAAACATTTACAATTTGAAATCGATTTTTCTATGAAAAATATAAGCTAATAAGCTTTTTTTTTTCAAAGATTCACCCATAAAAGTCGTTTTTTTTGATTCCTCGATGACTAGCCCAGAAAAGCAAACAAAAATTTCCCTTGAAATTACTCACCCCTACCCAAATATTTCTTATCGTTCAAACTTTGCATTTTTTTTTTGCAATTTTAATCAATCCTGGATAGCATTTTAGCAAAATAATAGCTCAAATTTGACTAATTTTTATTTTTATTCAAGGCACTTTTTTGTTAAAATTTTATTTGGTGCTGATTGTGTGTGCCTTCAAAAAAATTCGTTTACCTCACCACCAAAGCATGTTTAGCCAGTAGTGTGCTTTCCAGGGATTAAAGTTTAAAAAACACTTTAAACATAGTTGCCTCAATTCACTATTTCTCAGAAGCAAAGTATTAATAAAAAGTGCCTGATCAAGATTTCCGTTTTTCTGCATTCTAAAGAACTCAGCCGTTAGTGTGTCTTTCAGGAAGCAAGCTTTAGAAGCAAACTTTAAAGCTTTGGAAGCAAGCTTTCCAGGAAGCAAGCTTTGTATAATAAATCTAAACTTACTTACAATTTTTGCAAGATCCAGACGTTGACGGCCTCTGACAAGAGGCCGTCAAAGGCCTCAAGGGCCTCTGACAAAGTTTATTCTTTCCGTATTCTAATGAGTTTGTACTGTTGATGGGCGTTCCAGAAACAAAGATTTCAAGAAAAAAAATTGAAAATTAACCGAGAACAGCTTTTTGTATGATCCTGTTTTGAGTTAAAAGTGCCTTGCAAATATTTACGAATTTTCTAATTTTGCTAAGTTTAGCTGCTAGTGTGCTTTCCAAAAGCTATGATTTCAGAAATAATTTTTTATGTAAGTTGCTTATACACTAGATTTTAGCGTCGTCCTGATTTCAGCAAATATGCCTTTCCAATCTTTAAGAGTTTTCTTGTCTTTTTATTCCTAACTGTTAGTGTGCAATCCAGAAACAAAGATTTCAAGAAAAAAAATTGGAAATGAACCGTCCAAAGAACAGCTTTTTGCATCGTCCTGTTTTGAGTTAAAAGTGCCTTGCAAATATTTATGAATTTCCTAGTTTTGCTAAGTTTAGCTGCTAGTGTGCTTTCCAAAAGCTATGATTTCAGAAATCATTTTTTATCTAAATTCCTTATGCACTAGATTTTAGCGTCGTCCTGATTTCGTCAAATATGCCTTTCCAATCGCTAAGAGTTTTCTTGTCTTTTTATTCCTAACTGTTAGTGTGCAATCCAGAAGAGAAGATTTTAAGAATAATTTCCAGCATGAAGTGGTTATTCAAATTTTTAAGCAATAAACCTTCGAATCAAAAAGTGCCTTGAAAAATTTCACGATTTTTTTTATTTTAAATTTTGTAATCGCTAGTGTGCCACCCAGGAACTATGTTTTCAAAATTGCTTTTAATGTAAGCTGATTATTTAATGCATTCCAGCATTCAATAAAAGAATCTTGAGAAGATTTGTGAATTTCTTTATTTTAATGTGGTTAATCATAACCATATTTCTAAAACTTTTTTATCTTTCAATTTTTCATCTTCTATTTTCGCAATTTTGCAAAAAACATTCAGAGCTTTTTGTTGACGATTTTTCGCACGAAACTCAAATCTCGAATTTGATTTTGATTTTGGATTTAATCTGAGTTTTCCCGTCAAAGTTAATCCAGCTTTTATGAAACGTCATCAAAGGATTTGGTGCTGAAAAGCAATACAAATTGAGAAATTTTTGCTATAAGCTTTTGCAGCATTACAGAAAATAAATCTTTTTTTTAAAAAATTGAAGTCGATTTCTCAAGGTTCAAATTGACGCCAATTTTGGCTTTTTTTTTACCGGAAATTTTTGTTTTTCCCGCCCACAGTTTCCCATAATTATAGAGCTATTTTTCTAAATAAATTCTGTGAATAATGAAAGTTAATCACATTTTTCTTTCTCGATTCTTCTCTCCTACGTGTTCTGTGATATAAATTCTGTGAATATGAATGCTAGTGTGCTTGCCAGTGTGCTTGCTAGTGTGCTTGCTAGTGTGCTTGCTAGTGTGCTTGCTAGTGTGCTTGCTAGTGTGCTTGCCAGTGTGTGCTGAATGTGAATCTGTAATAAATTCTGTGAATAATGAAAGTCAATGACATGTTCTTTCTCGATTGTTCTCTCCTACGCATTTCTCGTGTCATAGTTGATATTTATTTTGGGATTTTTTGAAAAAGGAACCAAATTGGAATGGTCAAAAAAAAGAGAGGCATTCAACTCGATGAACAAAAGTAAATAGAGACTCGAGGAAAGTCAACTTTTCAGTGGTATCGTCACCGCCAGTCCTTAGACAATTTATCGACTTTTTATCGCAAAAAGGTTATCCTCTTAATCAGCATCGAGTCTACGTTTTACTCAATCTCCTTCTTCTCAATCTCCTCAATCTCTTTACTCATTTGTCTTTGTTTTTTTCAAATCCTTCACAATTTCCCCCATAAATCATTTCCGTTTCCATTCATCTCATCAAAATTTTGATTGAAAATATTTCTTGGGAATTTTGGAAGTGACTACAATTCGAAAATAGAAAAAATCGAGATTAACTCCAGGGTTTTCTCTTTTTGAAGTGTTTCTTCACATTCAAAAATGATTTCTCAACATTTTTCTTTAGAGATGGCTTTACTCTCACCAACAGTCGGCAAAATGAGAGCCGGTGGAGGAGCTAAACCGCCGACCGTTCCTTTACCTAATCACACAAAGCCGCCAGTTGGGTTGAGGTTTGTTTTATCCCTAAACAATATTAAAGTCTTTAGTTTAAAAGATCTAAAAGTTCTAAATGGAACTCACAACAAAACTTTTCGATTTAGTATCAGTGATCACGATTGTTTGAGAACGCCGACGATGAGCGACATTTTGAAGACTCCGACGATACTCGGCTCTCCGACAAAGGTCAGTAAAAAGTTTGAGCGTTTTTGTCAAAGCTGGATGTCACAAAAGGTATTGAGTTTGTAGAAAATGAGTATTTAGTTGAATATGGGTGACGCAATCACACCTCGACTCTCTCTATCAGCGTTGGCGCCAAGTGTCGGCCAGGCATTCTTCGGTGATCACGAGCCTTTGTTAACTGGTGAGGGATTGGAAGGGTGATGGAAATTACGTCAATTTTTCAGCTAATATTGAGATCTCAATCCCATCAACAGCCTCGTCTCTCGGTGCTTCAACGTCATCTGCCTCGACGACAACCAGCACCTCATCAACAAGTGAACAAAAGACAGAAAAGACGACTATTCACTTTAAGGTTTAGAAACTATTCAATAGAATAGTCAAATTTATATTTAATTTTTAGGGTTGTATCAGCACAAATCTACCAGTCAACCTACCAGCATTAGCAGCTCAGAATTCACCAGGTATTCCTCATTTCTATCAACAATTCTATCAGCTTTCAGCTTCAATGTTTCAATTCTCACCTCTTGTCGAGCATTTCCTTCAATCACTTACAAAAGGCTCAAACGGATGTTTACCAGAGTTGATTGTTGACACAAAAACCCCAACCGGCACCGATTCACCAGATTTAATGAAGGTAAGCGTAGCTTTTAGCAACAATTTTCGAAATCCTGGAGGTCATGCTTGAAATTCAATCATTTACCATGTCCAGTTTTGCTCATTTTGAGATGAGCTCGATTTCTCTCAAATTTTGAGACTTCCAACGTCTTGATTTCCTTTTTTTGGGGCTTCTGGGTGACACAATTCGATTTTGGCTTAAGAGTATGGAAATCCCATCGCATCATCTCTTCGGTGTCCCGCCATCAATAAGTGTCGACCCATCCTCGCCAGACACTCCCTCACGCACTCTACAAGCTCCGCCAACTCCAGAACAACGTCGACGCCTCTCCCACACACAATCGCTCAATCAGCTACAAGGGGTAGAAAAGAATAGTCTCGTCTACAACTCACCGCATGACCAGCATGATTCCAATTGTTGTCTAGCATGTCTAGCATGTCTAGCATGTCACTGAAATAACATCTTTGTCATTTCTAGGTTGTAAAAGTGTCTCAAAGTCAACTGCCTTCTTCATCGACTTCTTCAAAACAATCACAACCATCTCCAAGTCAAGGATCCGATATGGAAGTTGGTTTTTTTGCTTTTTGAACTAATACTTTTGAATTTCAAATTTATGTTCATTCACTCTGATATCTGTTAAGCATTTTATTGGCTTTAGAATTTAAAAATCAATTATTTAGCGACCCACTCGAGCAGCAACGACAGCGGCTTTGCGACAAAAATTACAGGTGAGTCGATGGATGGATTTTTGTTTAAATCGGATCATTTTTTTTGCGAAAAGATGCAATCTGGAAGTCACAGAAGACGATAGATCTATTTTTTTTCAGCAAAACGCCTCTTGTCCAATCATGCCAGCTGCATCGACTTCTCCAAATACAGCACAGGCTCAATTTGCTTGTTTTGCGACAAGTACATGCTCCGATCAACCACCAGAGAAATCAACAGCATTCGAGTGAAGATTTTCATTGGTTTTTTAAAGACTAATCCTTTACAGTTACTCTGATTTTGACGCTAAATCGGAACTTGTCGGTTTTGAGCCAAAACCTGAACCTTTTGACGATTATTATCCAAATTCTATTTATGGAGAAGGATCTCAAGGTGATAAATGTTCATTTTTAATGCCTAACAAAGTTATTAAAGATTTAGATTCCGAATTTGGAGACTATGACTATACAGGATCGGATTTGGAGGGTGGACCGTCAAGGAAACGACCATTTTCGTTAAGATCCTCGAAAATCCCCTTGCACGAGCGTCCATATAAATGTCCTAGGTAAAAGTTGTGATCTGGAACGCATAGGAGCTAAAAATTTCAAAATCTAATCATTTGGAAACTTTTCAGAGATGATTGCGATCGGCGTTTCAGTCGGAGTGACGAGTTGACTCGACACATCAGGATACACACCGGACAGAAACCGTTTCAAGTAATATTTGCATAAATATCTTAATAAGATTCTTAGTTTTAATTTTACACTTAAAATTACAGTGTCGAATTTGCATGAGAGCCTTTTCTCGATCCGATCACCTCACGACTCACGTTCGAACGCATACAGGTCTCAATATTGCATTTCTGAAAATTTTAAGAACAGTTCTAGTGGTTCTGGAAGTCATTCTAACTACTGAAATGAAAATTCAGGCGAGAAACCGTTTTCCTGCGATGTGTGCGGTCGGAAATTCGCTCGGTCGGATGAGAGAAAGAGGCACACAAAGGTACACACTGTACCCTGGGTGGGCATCCCCTCAACAAAACCCCCAGCTGGGTGGCACACTGTCCAATGAAAATCTAGAAATCTAGAAATCTAGAAATCCAGGAATCTAGAAATCTAGAAATCTAGGAATCTAGAAATCTAGGAATCTAGGAATCTAGGAATCTAGAAATCTAGGAACCTAGAAATCTAGAAATCTAGGAATCTAGAAATCTAGGAATCTAGGAATCTAGAAATCCTAGAAATCTAGAAATCCTAGAAATCACAAAGTTTTCCCCACAAGCATGAGCACCAGCAAGGCATTGGCACAGTTTCTCTGAAATGATTTTTTTACGAGTTCCAATTTCAGTAATATTCTAGGTGCACGCAAAAGGGAAAGGCAGGAGATCGTCTCTATCACCGACAGATCCAATGTCAATGTATGGAAGTGGTAAGTCACAAAATACTAGATTCATGCAAAAGAAATTTTCGCCTTTTTTTACAAACATTACATGAAATCAAAATCCCTTTAGATAACAATTTATTCTAAACAAAAAGCACGATCGTTATCTATAAAATCCCTTGAAAATTACTTCAAATTCCGGATTCCCTTATCAAAGAACACTTGTTTCTGTGATTGAAAGTAGTTGATCACCAAAATCTCCACCTCTTGCGCATTCTTAAACTGGCAAAAGGGAATGTTGCATCGATCTGAAAAGGTGAAAATCAGATAGTGCATTTGGTAAGATCTTCCATCTGAATTTCTCGAACTCCATAGAACTGTTTGAGCTGGCGCGTTGTTACGAAGAAAATTGAGAGTCGATGGTTTAAAGCCTTTTCACGCATTTGGTCAACCTCCTTGAGTTTTTGAGTAAAACAAGATGAATCAACTGTTTTTCCGAGCTCTAATAATTCGAAATAAATGATATTCTACCAGCAATCAGCAGACAGCATCACTTTGTGCCCATGATAATCGAGCTTTCGAGTTAGACTAGAAAAAAATCGCAAATTTTATACGAAGCAAAATTTCTTTTGCATCAAGTAGGTTGTAGCTTTAAAAGTTCTGCTTCAATTTCTAAAATCTAGCATGTCAGATTTGATGTATGTAGCCATAGAATTCAATAGAAAGTTATAAAGATATGAAATAAATTATTTCTGGCATTCTATCAATAAAAAGGGAAGATCACAAGAGATCCCAAATGAAATGAGCTAATGAAATGAGCCATTGAAATGAACCAATGAAATGAACCATTGAAATGAGCTAATGAAATGAGCTAATGAAATGAGCTAATGAAATGAGCCATTGAAATGAACCATTGAAATGAACCATTGAAATGAACCATTGAAATGAACCATTGAAATGAGCTAATGAAATGAGCTAATGAAATGAGCTAATGAAATGAGCCATTGAAATGAACCATTGAAATGAACCATTGAAATGAACCATTGAAATGAACCATTGAAATGAACCAATGAAATGAGCCATTGAAACGAGCCATTGAAACGAGCCATTGAAATGAAAGACTTATCGAGTCTGCTTCTCGTTTTTGCAAAATCGCACTCTATCAAAAGTCATTTCCAGGTGGTCCCCCATCAGCCGGCAGTTCGACTTCATCCTGTTAATCAAATTTTGTGGAAATTCTTTAAATTGCCTTCCAGAACCGCCATCTATTCCATAATTTTCTCAAATTTGCATTCAGATTTTGCATAATTTGAATCAATCTTTTGATTTTTCCCTACTCCTTCAAAATGCTCAATTTCATAAAAAGAAAAAAAGAAAAGTCTCATGAGATTTCTATTACTTATCAATATTCTTATATTATTTTAAAGTTTAAAGCAATATTTTAGGCTTTATTTTATTTTAGAATTTATTTTTTTTAAATTCTCAACAATTTCTCGGTGTTTTTACAGAAGAATTCTTCTTTCTAGTCTATTTTTTTTTTTGATAATTCGATTTTTCTTTTCTTTTTCTTTTCTTTGATACTCATTTTTGGAGCACATATTTCTCTGTACTGATATCCATGATATAGGAATCATTTTGCGGATTTCATTATTTTATTTCGATTTTCATCATTTTACCTTCCATTCTCATCATATCGTTTTTTTTTGATCAGAATAAATATGTAAATTTGAACAAAACCGAATTCTAAATTCTAAAATGCACTCCAGAATAGAGAAATTTTCAATTAAAAACCAAAAATCTCTAAAACTCGACCTTTAAAACCATTGAAAGCTTAACACTCAAAATAATGATGCCTAAAGCTTTCAAAAAACCCCTGTGTTGCTTAAAATCTCAATCCTGGATATCACGATCCCCGAATCAAAGATCCAAAGTTCGATCGGGGGTTGTTTGGTGGGGTCAGCCTCAAAAACATTTAGCACATTTCGATTGACTGAAAAGAGTCGTTTTCTCGGCTTTTCCTCTCTTTTTCCATTCTTTCTGGATATCATGCTTTCCATTTCTTTCATTCTCTCATCTTTTCTCCTCACTCTCCATTTCTCAGATCCCATATTTTGGGGCGGAGGCGGGACAGATTATCATTACAGCTGACGGTCGCTTTCCCTATGAGAGATTCGGAAAGAGTGAGATCCAGCTTGGCTTTTGAGCAAAAAAGATCGCAAGGTGAGCCCCAGAAAAAACAATCAAATCGCTCACCCACCTTTTTTTCAAATCTCGGTCTTTGGAAATTTATTTTTTTGAATTTTTCAATTCATTTCATTTTTCTGTACCTTCCAGGATTTTAAAAATCAAATCTAGTGCTTGGTTTTGCCAGAAGATGAGCGATTACGCATTGGTGCGTTCTCGGTCGGTGGTTTTGCCAAGAACCACATCGACGGTGCTTGTTTCAAGCGATTTCCACACTCCATCGGTTAGTAGACTGGAAATGGGGTTTGAAATTGGATGGAAATGATTCCAGATCCGTCGCTCCACCTCAGTGCCCGATCTCACAGCCTACTATCGCTATTCGGATAGGTTCGAGTTGAAGTTTTCACATAAAACTTAAAACATTAGTTGATTTACAATTTGTAAAAGGAATAAGTTAGGTTAATGAATGGAAAACCGTTTCATTTGTCGTGCTACTGCAGAGAGTGTCGGTTGGTTGCCTAATTCTAATCTAAAATTCCTACTGTTATCTAAAATCTTAATGAATTACGATAGTTCTTCTAATCTGAATCAATTTTTATTCAATCCTTTTCAGATATCGTCCACAATGGCACAGCGTTCGCTCGTATCGAACCGCTCCATCGAGATATTCTAGAGATTACGATCTCGTGAGTTTTCAAGAAGTCTATTTACATATATTTGGATAAATGATAATTAAAATCACTTATCGTTTGACTGAAAGGTTTAGTATCAGATTGTCTCAACTTTATAGTTGATGATGGGATCAAGGATTGCAAAATGGGGATCTAAGCCTATTTCTAGACCATCAGTGTTATCATTAACAATAGTATTAAGAATAAGGAATGGATTCAATTCTTTGGATTCATTGGACTCTTTGGATTCTTTGAATTCTTTGGATTCTTTGGATTCTTTAAGTATTGGAATTCCTTATTCTTAATTTCTATCGATATAAGTTTCTCAACTATATATGAAACTTTATTGAGAAAAGTGAATAACCTCTTGATTATAAAGCTTTTCCTATAGTGGGACGCCGCCTATGAGAACTTTCGTGGCTATAAATGGACAACAAAACGAGAAGCTGTAAGGATAAATGAAATAAATGAAATAAATGAAAAAAACCCATTTCCAAATTAATGTTTCAAATGTCGGTTTGTCAGTTTTCCCATTTGTAGTGGTCATCAGCCATGCTTGAGTGGAAGAGGCCTTTCAAATGGACAAGTTTATACGATGCTTATACATCTGTGAGTGTCAGGGAAAAGAATTTCAATTTTAAAAAGAATTTTAAACCTTTAAACTTTACAATCTGACAAAATGATCAAAAGTGGGTTAGTTTTAATTTTTTTTTTGCATAAGAAATGAGTTTGTAGACTTGAAATGGAATGTATTCAACTACTGTAACTAATTAAATTTTAGTATGACAACTACTGGCTGAGCAGAACCGATTACTGGCCATATACAAGCTCATACTGGCCAAGCCGGCGCTACTTCTACTCGTGAGTCGAATTTTTTAGAGTTACGAAAATTGTAGAATTAAGCTCGTTAATTTCTAAGTTGAATTCCAGGATTAAACTTGGTGAAAAGGGATTTTGATTTGAGAATAAATAAAGTAAAAAAAAATGATTGAATTCTTTCAGCGGCTATTGTCCGACATTCACTTACTGTTCCTACAACTATCCCTGGGGCTACAGACATAATAAATGGTATTAGGGGATGAGTGGAGTGTGTCGGTTTCTAAAAGATCCTTGAGGTTGTCGTAATCTGGTTTCACTGGTTTAATATAAGCCACTGTATTGTCTAGGATTACGGTAGCTCTTCTATCTTTTAGAAAACGATTGATTTAAAGCCTGTGAATGTTTATAGAATGACTCCTTCCTGATTTATCTCATTTTCTAGAGACTACTATAACTATCCATACACTTATTCGTGGTACAAGAATTATCGGTAAGCTTGGAGAGAAGATCTTGTTCTGAATCTTGTTCTGGCTCTGACAGCTTCCAGATCTTGTTCTGAATCTGGTTCTGGTTCTGACAGCTTCCAGATCTTGATCTAAATCTTGTTCTGGTTCTGACAGCTTCCAGATCTTGTTCTGGATTTTGTTCTAGCTCTGACAGCTTCCAGATCTTGTTCTGAATCTTGTTCTGGCTCTGACAGCTTCCAGATCTTGTTCTGACAGCTTCCAGACATCTCTATCTTTCAATATCTTAGAGACACACCAGCTCGTTCCTTTTGGTATCCTTATTCAAGCTATTGGCAGAGATACAAAACGTGAGTGAAATCATTTGAGAAAGATCAGGAAGCTGTCAGTCTTTTGAATTAATCTGTTGTCCCTGTTTGTGCTTGCTAACGTTTTTTTTGTTCTGGAATGCTGGAATGCTCAATCTGTAATGCTTTGGTGAGCTTTGAAACAAAACAAAAAATCGATACTTTTAGGTACGACAATCCGACTCGCTACGATCCCTACCCAAGCTATTCGAGCTACTACAATCGATATTCGGATCCAATCTACAGAAACTCTCTCCGTTCACCATGGACTCCATACAGCTCGGTAGAACTTTTTGAAAGAGTTAGATAATAGAAAGTGATGCACTTGGTGCAGGAATTGATGAAGAGATGAAGAGATGAGGAATTTTTATTCCAAACAGTGTCAATGAATGCCAATGAATGCCAATCATTGCCAATCATTGCCAATCAATTCCAATCAACCAGTCCAAGCTTTCTTTTCCAATTTCTTTCCATAAATTCTAGTATGTCTTGGACACAGCCGAGCGCTCAATGAAAAGAGGCCTCACAATGTACAAAGAAGGTGTGTGTTAGGCTAATCCGTTTTCCTTTTCAGTTCCGCTACACCATCAACCCATACACGAGTTTTTACTATTATTGAGAATCGAATGCCCGTTTTGTGTGTGTATGTGTGTGTAAGGTGCGTTCTATCGTACTTGAAAATAAAATAAAATCGGTTTTCCATAGGGTTTTCCATAAAAAATTTGATTTTTATTCAAAAATCGAAAATATTTTTTTGTCTTTCAGGTCAAATGAACTACAATACTTTGTACAACTACTTTTTAACTCCAAATTATTGGGATAAGCGGCATAAGGTGAGTTCTTTAACAAAAAAAGGAAAACGAGAGAGTTTCCCCTTCGCAAATCAAAAATCTAACCAAATCAAAAAGGATTTTTTTTAAAAACTAGATTTTGATGTTAAAAACGAAAAAATCGGCTACTGTGCGCTCCAGATTGACGAAAAATTTCAGGATTGGAGGGCTCTTTACATCAACGATGCCCCGTATTTTCGCAACACTGCCACCGCCGATCACGCTCGTCGCTACGTGGCCCAATGGGTCAACTAGAAATCGCTTGACATCGATAGAATAACCAAATTTATGCGCAATTTTCTGTATCTCGGAAAATTTTTGGTGGTATCATAGAGCCTCTTTGCTCTAGTCCTTTGCCCAGCTTTTCCCATTTTTCTTTCTTTTTTTTCTGTAATTTGCCGTATACTGCCACAAATGCTTGAATAAAGATTTCCCGGTGTGAGAGAACGCAAGAAAAAACCAAATTGGAATGCACAGAAACGATTTTGTTTATCATCTGAGAATTAGACGCTCATTTTTTTTTGGCGGAAATTGAGGGGGTTCGAGTGTAATGTATTTTGAGGGGATTTTCAGGGAAAGGATTGAACAAAAACAGCTTTGACGGCCAAGCTGGAGCACACAAAAGAGGATGAGAAGGAGAAATGGGGGGAAATGACTGGATGGGAAAAAAAATTGAGAGGGAGGGGTAGGTGGAGGTGAGTGATGGAGGAGAGGGAGGCGAAGGAGAAGGACGGGCAAGAGATAGCCCTCTGGAAATTGCTTCATTTTGGTCAATCCCATTTTGATTTGCAAATATTGATCTTGAAATATTATAGAAATTATCAAATTCTAGGAATTGGCTATCTTTTTGGCTGAATTTCTTCCCAACAACAGTTATAAAAATCTTCGAATTCTCGAAAATCATTTTTTTCCACATTTTTCTTTCCCATTCTTCCATGTGCCTTCCAGATCCCACATTTTTGATTTCAGATGGTGCAGGAAGTGGCCTTTAGGGCCTACCATCCGGTGAATTTGCCCCGGTCGCGTTCTGTCGAACGGGTTCCCTACCGAGTCGGCACCCTCACAAGGTAAGATTTCAATAGTGTGCCCTCCAGGATAGCTGTATTGGGTATCAAAATGCAATATTAAGCACTCCATGATATCCTATCTACTCAAAAATCATTTCAGAGTCTCCTCGGTTCCATGTGTTCACACCCTTCGCGTTAGCAAGGACACCTATCGCGGGAGTGGTCTGCACAAGTATCGCCGAGACTACGACCTGGTTTGGCTAGACCGAATCCGCGAAAATCAAACTTTAAAACATTCAGACAGACGATTGGGAGAAAGATCGTGTCAATTTCTATCAACCATTCCATTTCTCGACTTATCGATACCAAGCTCGTCGCCAACTCCTCACCGATCCAATTCCCAACTCGCTCGGTTTTCAATACCCCGGTTTCTTGTAAGAAATTGGCTATTATTTGAGATATCAATTTCTTTTTAGTGGTCGTTATAAGTTTTATTACGATTGGCTAAATCCAACAATGTGGCGTAAACATCGTGATCCAAACTACGACAGACCACTTTGGAATCATTGGCGGCCTTGGCAATATAATAGTGTAAGCTATAAAGGAAGATGCTAAAGGGGAGATCGATCTTTTTAGAAATCGATCAAAGATGGTATTGATCTTTACCGGAAAGGTATCATTCCATTCGATGTTCTTGACAAGAAATGGATTGAGCCAACAGCATTGGCGAGAAAGGGAAAAGACTGGTTCGATGTGTACACACCAGCTCGTAAGTGTTAAGAAATGAAATCAAAGGTCGATTTAGCAGACTTTCAATCTCTCATAGTTTTTATAGGGTCAGTGCTGAGCTTGTAGGCTTGTAGTGACCAACTACGAGCTACTGTACTCCGAGATTACCATAGAGAATGAGACAAGCTTTACTATTCTTCAAATTTCCAGCTCGTTACGGTGCTCACCGTTACTTCTTCACCGGACAAGTGTATTAAAAAAAAGCGAAACTCTTGCAAGTCTCAAATTTGTCTCTTTTTTTTCTTATTTTTCTTTTCTGTACATGATAAAGTTCATCGCAAATTTATTGCAAAAAGAACCGATTTAGCAAAAAGGACTTGTAAATTGATTCACATTTTTGTTTTCGCTACCCGAATTGATAGAAAATGAATGAAAATCGATGCAAAAAAAACTGTACAAAACCCGTAAATAAGTAGAGAATCGAGTTGATGATCAATAGTCGCCTTTTTGATTAGCAAGAGCAAATCTCAGTGTCATTTGGCTAAAATCTGGAATGCACAAAAGGGTTTGGTTTGGTTGGAAAGGTCGAAACTCGCTGTTTCCACGACGCTACTTTGTACAGTATAGTAAATTTTATCGTAGCCAGATAATTGTAGCCTCAAAACAACCAGTGCTATCCAGTTTGGTTATAAAAATAAATATTTTCTCGTTTCTAGACATTCTAGTGCTTAAAATTCCAACGATAACATAATCTACAATGACAGTACAGTAGAAGTTATCATAGACGATCAACGATAGTTCTATCTTACTACGTGCTATCCAGCTTAATCAAAAACTAACTTTTTTAGATAATTTCTAGCTTCTATAAGATAATTTACTCGAGACATCGATCTTTCCAACCTTTCCAACCTTTACCAAGCCTATCACACTTAAAATCCACACATTAAACTACAAGAAGAAGAAAATGAAAGTGATAGAAGCTAACCGATTGCCCCAAAAGATCACAAATGACACGATTCATCACACTCGCTCACAGATCCTTCATCCGGATTCGTGATCATCGTTTCTCGAACCGTTTGACTTTCCTTATCACTTAAATTCGCGCTTTTCGTCACCAAATCCATTTCTTTATCTCTTCGACCATAAACCGCCTTGAAAAAGCATTGAGTTTTAAAATGATTTCTCCATGATTTTCTCTCAACCTCTTTTATCGATTGCCACCATGTGTATCCCTTTTCACCAAAACTGAATTGTTGAGAGTATCGATAGGGATGATCCATAAATAATGATGACTAAATTTTGAGTTTATCTACCCAATTGTTTAAATGCTTTCCGGAAAAATGAAAAATTTTTGATGTAAAACTGACTTGTGGGCAATTGATTCGAACTGAAGCTGGGACACTGTCCGTTCGCACTCGACGCGCCAGCGCTGATCGTCGGAGGCATGGGATGGCCATCATGAACTCTTTTCTGGAATGCATTTTTGGAAATCATTTTTCATTTTCTGAGACAGTACGATTCTTTACCTAAACGAATCATTCATCCAAGCGTATAAGATCGGATTCCAACAAGTTCCCGTCATTGATATCAAATGGGTGACGAGAAAGACGAATTGTGGAGCTTTCAACCAAGCGACTAGCTCGAGATCGCGAAGGAGATTCCTGAAGATTGTCAGCTAAGTGTCAGATTAAGACCGAGTATCATTAAAGCCTTTAAAAGTAGAGAAATGAGTATGCCAGTTTAACCAATTAATGAAATTTTCAGTTTTAATAACAATTGAACAATAACCAGTTTGCTTTTAAAGCTGAATTTCAGAAGTTACTTGACCAGTTCTGTCAAGAAAACGATTGGAGCTCGATCTCGATATGCGAATCTCGATTGAAATCTCGAAATGCGATAAAGGACATTTTGTAGAGCTTGGAAAGACGAATCGAATGATGTAAAAACTAGCTGAGCATTGTAAACACTGGCTTACAAATTTTTGCTATATAGTCTTAAGGAGTTTTCAAAGATGGCTAGTTAAGATGGCTAAGCGCTCTAGTGATTAGTGCAATTGTTTACCAAGATCAGGGACTCAATTCCTTTTCAATCACTAAACCCCTAAGCCATCTCGTCTATACCTTTGAAAACATCTTAAGACTATATAGCAAAAGCAAACAAAACAAAACAGGAATTGAACTCCTGACTCTTTGCTTGGTAAACAATTTCACTAATCACTAGACCGCTTAGCCATCTTAACTAGCCATCCTTGAAAACATCTTAAGACTATATAGCAAGACTTGCAAGCCAGTTTTAATGTGTTTACAATGCTCAGCTAATTTTTTACATGATTCGACTCGTCTTTTCCAAGTTCTACAAGCTATACCGCATCTTAAAATTCCATTCCGAGCTCCAAGCGGTTCCTTGTGAGTTGCTTCAATTCACCAGACCCCAGCCTCTACTCCTAAAATTCTCGTAACTTGGATTTCTCGGACGTGATGTCCCTGAACATGTCTGCTATCCCTCTTTAACCCATCACCCAATATTGCATTTCACTTTTTCTCAAAAGTTCAAGGAAGTGCTTTTCAATATTGATTTGAAAATGTTTAAAATCTTCAATTTCCAGGTAAAAGTTCAAAAAGCCAGTCCAAAAGCGGAAGTGTCTCTAATCCCTGAAGTGAGTGAAAAGATGTAGAAGGGAATGGCAATCATTGAACTCCGTTTTCAACTCCAAAGAAAGGGAATGAGTTATTCACGAGCAAGGCTTTAGAAGGTAAATGGATTGGAAGCCTTTGTGCCATTGTGTGGAGGAGTTTGTTAGGGTTAGTCCTTCTCTAGCCTACTCATAGAACTTATAGAATTCTTTGGAGGGTAGCCAAAAGCAAGATTGTGATCAAATGCGATGTTAAGATTGAATTGAAATCAATTGAAAGCCATTGACTTTCACTTGGCTTTAGCAACTCTAGTTTGTGTACTTTCGAAGTGTAACACTTGAAATTTCTAGCTTTTATTACTGCGAAATGCTCAGCTTAGTCTTTTGTAGTAAATTAAGCTCTCGGGCAGTCGGGGAACACTTTTCAACTCTGTTTTATGTACTTTTGTAGGGTAACACTTGAAATTTCTAGCTTTTATTTCTGCCGTAAGGCTCAGCTTAGCCTTTTGTAGTAAATTAAGCTCTCGGGCAGTCGGGGAACACTTTTCAAACCCTTTTCAAACCCAGAAATTCAAATCCTTTTTAGACTAAAATGAATTTTTCATAAACCCTACTTTTACGTCAAAAAATCGTCAAAAAGGAATTTTTGGACTCATTTTTTCAAAGAATATTTTCAAAAAGTGTCACCAGAAAGGTCCTTCAGGTGTTTCGAGCCGTTTTTTGCACTCGTTGCTAAGGAAAACCCATTTTTCAGCTATTTAGGATGAATCGATTGGGCTTTTTTTGAGGAAATCAAAAAATTAAGCTGTTCAGGGTTTTTTTTCCAAGAAATAGCTGAACAAAATGAGAATGTTGCTGGTTTTTTGACAATTATGGATGTCATGTTAATAGAATACTTGAAAAACATGGCGTAAAACTAGTTTTTTGACTTGTTGTGAATTTCCAAAGGAGATTCAACTATATTGAGCATTATTTTTGTATATTTGATGATTATGGATGTCATGTTAAAGGATTATTTTAGAAAATCAGCACTTACAAGACATTGAGCGGTAGCCAGCACATAGCGAATAGGCAAACCATGGTGACCAACATACGGAGTAAACGCTTTTTTCGAGCAGTGTCGCGTTGAATCGAGTGAGAGCCACGAGCGGAAAAGTCCTAGAATGAAATGAAGGGAGATTGGAGGGCTGATTCTACTTGTTCATGTCCTTTTAGAAAGATCCAAATCATTGCATACGAGATTCCAATGATTGTGAATGGAACGACAAACTGGAAATTGATTTTGTTGAATGATTTTATTTGATTGAAATTGATTTCTTGAATGATTTTATTGATTGAAATGGATTTATTGAATGATTTTATTGATTGAAATGGATTTATTGAATGATTTTATTGATTGAAATTGGTTTCTTGAATGATTCTATTTTCAAAAGAAATATTATTCTCAATGATTTTGTTGATTAAAATTGGAAGTTGATTTCTTGAATGATTCTAATTTCAAATGAAATGATATTCTCAATGATTTTGTTGATTGGAATTGGAAATTCATTTCTTAAACAATTCTATTTTCAAATAAAATGTTATTCTCAATGATTCTGTTGATTAAAATTAGAAATTGATTTTATTGAATGATTCTATTTTCAAATAAAATGTTATTCTCAATGATTTTGTTGATTGGAATTGAAAATTCATTTCTTAAACAATTCTATTTTCAAATAAAATGTTATTCTCAATGATTTCCTTAATATTAGAGCTTTCTTAAACTTTATAAACCTGTAAAAACATGACAGTCATCCCATAAATCTTCTTTAACCATTTCTTATTCTGCCAATCCTCAGTGCAAACAAAGAAATCGCAAGGAAGACGAATGTAAGTGTACTAAATGGGAGAATTATTTGAAATTGTTGAAATTATTGAAATTATTGAAATTGACAATTTTTAACTTTAAGAAATTGATACCTTCATATGATATCCATATGGTAAAACAAGAAGTAGAGAAGTGCACCAAATACATGAAACAATCGCCACACATTTCTGAAAACAATTCAAATTTGAGCTTTTTCTTAGAGTTTAAAGGGAATTTCAATCAAAATCCACTTCCAACTTTTCCCTGGATCAAGATCAAAGCTTTTTCTCTAGATTTTAGACTTTGTATTGTTTAAATGAGAAGTTTTTTCAGCGTTCTGGAATGCACAGAGACTATAAATGTTTAAAGATATTCAAAATTAAAGATAGAAAAAAAATTTGTTTTTCCGACTTCAAGACCTGAGTTTCAGCTAGGGCTTAAGCTTAATATTTTGCTTTGCATTTCCTTTCTTAACAATCTAATCTCAAATTTTTGCAATCAATATAGAAGGTTGACGTAGATAGAGGTATTTTTATCATCTCAAAGTGTTCCATTCCCCCATGAAGGGGTGTGGGAATTCGCCTCAATTCCCTCCACTTTTCTTTTCCCTTTTTCTTTTTTAAACCAATCCTCACCTTTTCCTCAATTTTTTCGAAAAGACTTTCATTCAAATGCTACTTTTTGTTGATCATTGGTCTTCACGAAATGAACTTATTGATTGGAAACATGTGGGATTTAAGAAGAGAAGCTTTGGAGGAAAAAGAGGAAGAGAAAGAGAGGAAAAGAAAGAGGAAAAGAAAGAGGAAGAGAAAGAAAGAAGGGAAGAAGAGGAAGAGAAAGAGAGGAAAAGAAAGGGGAAAAGAAAGAAGGGAAGAAAGAAGAAAGAGAGGAAAGAGAGGAAGAGAAAGAAAGAGAGGAAAGAAAGAGAAAGAGAAAGAGGAAGAGAAAGAAAAGGAAGGAGATCTTCTAGAAAGACTATTAAAAATAAAAATCTTCAAACCGTTATGCTAACTCGATCATTCAATTGAGCAATTGTTGAATTCTGAACGATCACGAAATATCGATCGACAGCAATAGCCATCAGGGTGAGAGTGGAGATGAAAATCGAGGCACCCTGGAAAAGTTCTGAAGTCAAGAAGTACTGACTCTAAGATCTTGAATTAAGACCTTTGCAACAATGATTTCTAAGAGAAAACTGGACACTGATCTAAATTGGATGTCACACGAACGTTTCCTGCTAAATTTGTCTTTTATTTGATCAAATTTGTCAAACTCCCAAAACTCCACAACTTTTCTCGCTCTTGGATTCTTTTTTTTTATGTTTTCTCTTTTCTTTTACCCGTCTAAATATCTAAACTAGGCAACCGTTAGCTTTTCCTCCTTTTCCCTCTTTCTTTTTCCATTTTTTTAGACAATTTCATCCCTCCGGAAAGCCAAACAAGCCCCGCAATAACGCCAAAATTCTCTCGGCTTCCTTTTTCCAGAATTTTTGAAAAGAAACGTGAAATCTCTTGCCGAAGATCTCAATTGAACGGAAGTTAACAGCACTCCCCGCGATTGCATTCTGCATTTGCAAAATTTGACCGCACCTGGACTCGAATCTGAGCTCAAGCCCGTATTGGAACCGTTATGGATTTAAAAAGAACCGTATTGGAACCGTAATGGAACCGTATTGGAACCGTATTGGAAACCGCGCTCGCCTGGAAACCGCGCTCGCCTGGAAACCGCGCTCGCCTGGAAACCGCGCTCGCCTGGAAACCGCGCTCGCCTGGAAACCGCGCTCGCCTGGAAACCGCGCTCGCCTGGAAACCGCGCTCGCCTGGAAACCGCGCTCGCCTGGAAACCGCGCTCGCCTGGAAACCGCGCTCGCCTGGAAACCGCGCTCGCCTGGAAACCGCGCTCGCCTGGAAACCGCGCTCGCCTGGAAACCGCGCTCGCCTGAAACCGCGCTCGCCTGGAAACCGCGCTCGCCTGGAAACCGCGCTCGCCTGGAAACCGCGCTCGCCTGGAAACCGCGCTCGCCTGGAAACCGCGCTCGCCTGGAAACCGCGCTCGCCTGGAAACCGCGCTCAGAACCACTTGACTAATATAAAACTTTGATATCTTTGCTTGAAATTCTCAGAAAACCTTTTCTGTGTTCCAGTTTGAAACTTGGTTCTGTTTAAAATCGATTAGTTGCTGTTTAAAGCGCTCAAACCCCTCATCGTATTTGTTTGATCAAATTCTCGTTTGAGTTCGTTGTTATTGGTTTCCCGGGTGAAATATCTATTTCTGCTAATTGGATAGCATGGAGGCGTTTTGATTGTTAAAATCACCTGGAATAACGGTAGCCCGTGACACAGCCAACCGCCCCAGATCCAATGACCGACATAGGTGTAAACGGGCGTCAACCAGAGGGACCTGAAATTAGCTGAGGTCGATTGTCAAGTGAACATAAAATCTCGGGAATGGTTGTTGTGGAAGGCACAGAAAAAGTTGATCATTGAATTTCTGAGTTAATCTTAAATTTTTCGACTTTTAACTGATCTGTGAGCTTATCTTCTTAAAAAACTCGATCTAGGAAGTTTTATGAAATGAAATGTTTAAAATTGTCTAATCTGGAGTGCACTCAGTTGATTGGGGATTGTTGGGAGAGGGAAATAGATGAGGAAACAATTTGAGTAAATTATTCGGAATGGATTCTGTTGAAACTCACGTAAAATTGACGAGAAGATCAGAGATGGCAAGATTGCAGATGAAAATATTTGTGACTGAGTGCATTCTCCGGTTATTCGTGACTACATAGACGACAAGGAGATTCCCAAAAACAGCCACCATAAAAACAAGACAGTAGAGACTGAAGAGAACGACGCGAACCCATAAAACATCAAGAGGATTCTGCAAAAAACTTTACTGTATCTACTTTTTCTCAATACTATAGTTTAATAAGAGATTACTGTAGCTAGGGAAGCTCGATTTCATTCTATAAACCGTCCTTAGTCAGAGTCAGAGTTAGTCCAAAGTTTAAAAAATCCAAAAATCTTTCAAGTCAAAATTTTCTTAATTAAAAAGATTCCAATTAACTATATGTATCCCAGATCGCTAGAATTTTCAGTTTTTTCCATTGGTTACCAATTTTAAAATCATTTTCCAGCTTCAAACTCTGCTTTACTACTTACCCCCTTTATTTTACATGCTTCTTCATATGTTCTCGATATCGTCGTTATATTCACATCCATACTGAAAGAAAAAAATCCTTTAAAAGTGAAGATTTTGCAAGGAAATCGAGGAAATTGGTGAAAGAGAAGAGATTTAGAGATAGAGATAGAGATTTTAAAGTTTATAAAGTCTTATTTTTATATATGCTTTGTCCGATTTAGATTTCCGTCCGATTTAGATTGAACTTATCGCGGACGTCCGATTTAGATTCAATCTAAATCTTATATAGATTGAACAATAATATAAACATGCTTAATATATTCTTAAGCGTTTTCTGTAGTTTTTCGCATTTTTCAAACGTCTTTTACTGTCTTTTTCTGAAAAGAAAACCCAACTATAGACTGTAATCAATAAAAGACCTTTGAAAAATGCAGAAAACTACAGAATAACGCTTAAGAACATATATTAAGCATGTTTATATTATTGTTCAATCTATATAAGATTTAGATTGGATCTAAATCGGACGTCCTATATAGACTGTAATCTATCGGACGTCCTATATAGACTGTAATCCATCGGACGTCCTATATAGACTGTAATCTAAATCGGACGTCCGATATAGACTGTAATCTATCGGACGTCCTATATAGACTGTAATCTAAATCGGACGTCCGATATAGACTGTAATCTATCGGACGTCCTATATAGACTGTAATCTAAATCGGACGTCCGATATAGACTGTAATCTATCGGACGTCCGATATAGACTGTAATCTATCGGACGTCCTATATAGACTGTAATCTATCGGATGTCCGATATAGACTGTAATCTAAATCAGACGTCCGCGATAAGTTCAATCTAAATCGGACGTCCGATTTGGATTGAATCTAAATCGGACACAACATATAGATACTTTATTCAGGACCTGAGATAAAGTGCGATAGATTTAAGATTAAAACACATCAATTCATACAGATAACACGAAAAGGGCCGTTTTATTTAAATTTAGAAATAAAACAAAGCAATTACCACGAGTCCATTCTCAAAAGCACGAGTTGAATGATGTGACTTTAAGAAATCGCCTTCAGAAAGAAATCGCCTTCAGAAAATAGATGTTTCCGGTTTTCTATTGAAATAACTTTGCAATTTCAGTCTTTTAACTGAATATCTTTCGAGGTTGAAAGTTTTTTTGAAAAAAAAAATTGCCGAAAATTGTGCACTTCCGGACGTTTTTTAAAATTGGAGAGGAATGGAGAGAGGAAATTTCGGGGGAATTTCCCTACAAACATTTTGTGGATCTTGTGAAAAAATTACGCGATGACTTCCAGGATTTTCGAAAAAATGCGTTTCGATATTAGTTTCCGCTACAGTAATGAGAAATTCTTAAAGCAGAAGTGATACAGGGCATTTTGAAGAGTCCTCAATTACCCATTAGGCTGATTTTGATGCTTTTAAAGGGGGTTTTTGGGGGGCCCCCTAACCCCCAATAGGCGGTTTTGGGCTTGGGTTTTTGGTCCTTAATTACCCATTGGCCGTTTGGTTTTGTTTCAAAATCACCCTGACATCTTTTGAAAAGTGAATAGAAATCGAAAAAATTAGAGAAAACAATGAAAATCATGTTTACTTAAACATACGGCTTCTGGCATATGACTTTTGAGATTAAGAGACAGAACAAAGCTCTCTTTCTTTAATTTTGCTTCAATTTGGTTTAAACCAAGCTGGGTAATCAAGCTTTTTAGGTCTTAATGTCTTCAGAATTCAAAATTGATAACAAATTTAGATTTTTCACCATAGAAAAAGCCTTGAAAACAAAGAGTTTGCTTAGTTATAAGCTTTAAAAAAAAAACAAACAAAGAGTTTGCTTAAGTTATAAGCTTAAAAACAAGTTATAAGCTTTAATCGTGGTTTTAAACAACAGTTTGCAAAAAGCATAATGTGTTAATTAATGGACTTTTGTGTTTGTAAAGAGTTGGAGACTAGATTTTATGAAATGAGTTATTTTTGGAACCTTTTACAAAGCGAATGTTCAATTTTGAATGAAATTGAATCTCTAACTGGAACCATTCTCAAAGAGTTCATCAGTTCTCTCGAAAACTCATTGACAAAATTTGTATTCTTTGCAAAATCGAAGAATTTAAAGACATTTTTAGATCAAGATCTTGTAATTTTGTTGATAGATTAGGAAATGGGTTATTTTTGGAACCTTTTACAAAACGAATGTTCAATCTGGAAGGAATAAATGTGAATTTCTCTAGCTGGATCCATTCTCAAAGTTCATCCATTCATCAGTTCTCTCGAAAACTCATTGAAGAAATTTGTATTCCTTACAGAATTCTCTTTTCCAAACTATGCAAATTGGTCTGTGGATTCAAAAAAAAACAAGCGCAAGTGCTAAAAGTTTGGGATGGGTTCAAGGGGTTGGCTTTTGACCAAGATGAAGATCGGTTGAAGTAGATCGAAGGCCTACTTCAAGCTTAAGGAGCTTAAGGAGGTAGGCCTTCGATCTACTTGAAGCTTAAGGACATTTTTAGATGAAGATCTTGTCATTTTGTTGATAGATTCAAGTAGATTTCTCATAGAATGAGATAAAATAAAATAATGAAATTTTTGGGTAGAGAAATGTGAAAGATGAGGTGAAAATTTTGTGCAAAATACTTTAGTGAAAATGGGGATGAGAGGGCTAATTGGGTTTGAGAAAAGGAGGGAATGGAATGCATTGGATTCGGACTGGGGAAAGGGCTTCAAAATCTGATATCTCAGAGGTGGAGATCGGCGAATTCATTAAATAAAAGAAATCGAGGAATGGGGTGACGATTTCAATGAAGGGAAAGCTTCTGGAGTGAACGAATTGAGCATTCTAATTTTTCATAGGCAGTTTTATTGGTAAAATTTGAAACAAATTTCATTTTTGAATTGGTTGAATGGCTAAATTGGAAGGCAGGAAGGCGATTATTTGCGAAAAATCATCAAAAATCATTAAAATTTTCATCGTCAATCTTTCGGTTTAAGAAAATTGAGTTTAAGTTGAAATTCAGGCTTTGTTCTTAAGAGAAATGATTAAATTGGAGTACAGGAGGCATTCTAGAATTGAGTATTTCAAGGGTTAGCTTTGAAAAAAGAATTCGAGTAACATCAACTTCAAGACTCTGAGACTTTTGAGTCACAAAAAAGCAATATTTGAGCTTAAAGTTTAGGGAGATGAAAAGAAGTGGGAATATCTCAGTTTGGGAGAAAAAGAAATGGAGTAAAGACCCGCCCATTTCAGGTGAAAAGAAAGGCATGGGGAAAGAGGAGAACGACCGGAAATGGACACAGAATATTCTGGGGGAATGGATAAGGGCAAGAGTGAGAGAAGGCAAAGAGATTGAGGCACAGATTGGCCTCAATGACCGATTGGCCTCACTTCATTCAACTCATTCCACCCCATCCAAAGCGCTTTTTATCTGAGAAGGGAACCCCACCAGATTTTCGACATTGTTTGGCTGAAAATTGCCTTTACAAAAGCCTGAAAAGATTCCCGACATTGTTTCGTTGGAAACATAGTGTTTCTGATACAGAATTTCACGGTGATTCCGAATCCGTAATCAAAAGTTCCTAAAGGCTCAAGGAAAAAAAGATATTCAACTTTTTCTTTTTATTACATTTTATGTGCCATCGGCGCTCAATAAGCTCCTTTTTTAGGAAACTTTTTTTAACTAGCTCGGTGGCTTAGTGGTTAGTGGTTAGTGCTCTTGATTCCTAGGGAAATCGCTGCCTTTTTGCACGGGTTCAATCCCTCGTTTCGCCATCTTTTTTTTGTGTAAAATTTGGTTTTTAATTAAACACATTCATTATCTTTATAATCTTTTAATGATCTTTTAATGTAGTTATTTAGTTATTAATACTATTGCTATTTTAAATTATATCATTATAAAGATAATGTGTTTAATTAAAAACCAATTTAAAACATAAAAATCAAAAAAGATGGCAGCACGAGGGATTGAACCCGGACAAAAATAAAACGGTTCGCCTTTGACCCCAGTGTGCTAACCACTACGCTACCGTGCTGGTTAAAACAGCCGCCTGAAAAAGGATCTTATTGCGTGCCGATTTGCTTGACTGCGAAAAAATGTGAGGAAAAGAAAAAGTTGAATATCTTTTTTTTACTTAAGGCTTTAGGAACTTCTGATTACAGATTCGGAATCAGCGTGAAATTCTGTATCAGAAATCCTCTGTTTCCAACGAAACAATGTCGAGGATTGAAGGGATTGAACCCGTGCAAAAAGTCGGTTTGCCTAGGAATCAAGAGCACTAACCACTAAGCCACCGAGCTACTTAAAAACGTTTCCTGAAAAAAGAGCTTATTGCGCGCCGATGGCACGTAAAATGTAATAAAAAGAAAAAGTTGAATATCTTTTTTTTGCTTAAGGCTTTAGGAACTTCTGATTACAGATTCGGAATCAGCGTGAAATTCTGTATCAGAAATCCTCTGTTTCCAACGAAACAATGTCGGGGATCTTGTCAGTAGCGCTTTGTAAAGTCAATTTTTAAACCCAAGAGATTGAAGATGAAAATCGTGATTTCTAGTATTACAATTGGTTACTTTCTGGCTTCAAATGAGGGCTCAGATTGAAAAGAAAAGAAAAACGAGTGCTCAACCATCTCCGGATACAAATTTTAGAGCTGCGGATAAATCTGAAAAAGAAAAATCTCAAAGTAAATGATGTGTTCTATGTGTTTTGTTTCAGGGTTTAATCCTTTAAAAGTCAGTTTCAGTTTTTTCAGTTTTTTGAAGCCAGTTTGAATTGAATTCCTGATTTCTGTCATTCATAATACCTCTAAACATCACGTTTTTTTGCCTAAAAAGAAACCGATGAATTCAACTTTTCTAGTTGATCAACGATTAGGTGAAAACAAAACAAAAAAAATGTCAATTATAGGCTTCATCTTATCTGTTTTTAAATCGAATTTTTATTTGAAATTCGTTGTAAATCTTTGCTATGATTAGAAATGTTTCAAATATTTGAAAAACAAACAAATTATGACAATTCGAGGAATCAAAGGGATTTTTGGTGTAATTGAAATTTCGAAAGTTTTCAG